AAAAAAAAAAAAAAGAAAAAGCGAGTTATCATTGAAAACAAAACAAAGGGCCAGGTGTGGTGACTCATGCCTGCCAGCACTTTGGGAGGCTGAGACAAGAGGATTACTTGAGGCCAGGAGTGTTCAAGATCAGCTTGAGCAACATAGTGAGACCCTGTCTCTACCAAAAATTAAAAAAAAAGAAAAATAGCCAGGTCTGGCGGTGTGAACTTGTGGTCCCAGTTACTTGGGAGGATGAGGCAGGAAAATCATTTGTGTCCAGGATTTAGAGGCTGCAGTGAGCTATGATCATGTCATCATAGTCCAGCGTGGCCACACTGCAAGACCCTGTCGCAAAGGAAAAATAGGGAAAAACAGTGTTGAAAGTTCAAGCCATATTTGAGTTTGTAGAATTTTGTTTCTAGCAGACCTAACTAGTGAATTTTATGTTTATATTAATTTTGTCTTTACCCTTTCATTGCTTACAAATAATAGTGCAACAAAAATAATACATACAAGGAACGTTATTTTTGCTAGTAGCTCTAAGCTGTATTTGTGTTAACTAATTAGAGTTTATTAATTTTCCCCTCCCAGAAACAGCATTTAAATTTAAAGCCTTAAAGAAGGTTGCACAGTTAGCAGTTATAAATAGCCTAGAAAAGGTAAGTCACACCCTTTTTGGTATTTACATTTTGGTTTTGATTACAAATTTTGATGTCTTTATTAGCATTTTGAATAAGAAATCATAAGTGATAGTTTCACATTAAGTTTTAGGAAGAACACTTTGTAATATTCTTATGAAGGAAATTAGAAGCTTGTGAGATTGTATTTACTGTATAAGGAAAAGGTCACTGATTTTGTGTAAAGATATGTGTTTTGTTATTTGTAGGCATTTTGGAACTGGGTAGAAAACTACCCAGATGAATTTACAAAGCTATACCAGATTCCACAGACTGATATGGCTGGTAAGGATGAGATTGATATTTTGTCTTTTAAACTCTTATGAGGTAAAAACCTATTACTTACCAAGTTATTTTTGTTATAAATGTGTATTTATGCCATCTATTGTTAACTAATGTCAAATAGAAGATACTGTTTTTTCCTCGTATTTCTCTATTCCTCAACCCTTTTCCTTTCCTTTGAGAAAGTAGACACAAGTTTTATAGAAGCTTTATCTTTAGAGTTGTGATTGAATATTTGCCTTTGTATTGTGGAGAAGCACTTTTTTGTCCTGTTTTATTTTGTATTTAGGGGAATATGTATAAAGTAGTAATATTCTTAGCTATAATGTAAGAATTTTCAGGACACAACTGCATAGTAGAGAATACAAATTCCTGGAGAATTTTGGTAATTCTGTTTGGGAAAATGTCTAGTCTTGGGTACATCATACTTTGTATAATGCTCTGCACATTGAAACTAACCTCATGATCAGCCATTCTAAAGTGTGTACTTTTTTAGGATAAATCAGGATAGCTCTTCTAAGACATGAACAACAGAGCATTCTGTGTCTACTTACCTGAATGGATTTGTGTAGTTGTTTAAGTGAACTTCCAACTTTATATTTTAAAATGTGGGCTTTGGGTTTTGGATAGTGCTAGCTTTTAGTTTAATCTCAGGGACTTTTTTCTCATCTAATAATGTCATTTAATACATTTTTCATGTAGAGTGTGCAGAAAAGCTATTTGACCTGGTGGATGGTTTTGCTGAAAGCACCAAACGTAAAGCAGCAGTTTGGCCGCTACAAATCATTCTCCTTATCTTGTGTCCAGAAATAATCCAGGATATATCCAATATATCCAAGGAAGTAGTTGATGAAAGCAACATGAATAAGGTGAGTAGGGCAAAATAATTTCCATTATGTTCAGATGTGAAATAATTTGTTTTACTAAAAGTGTGTATTACTTGAGGCTCTTCATTCTTTAAACAAATGATTTCAGGGGACCATTTAAATTATTATCATTTTAGATCTCTTTGCTGGCCTTAGCAGAGACATACATAATTTTATTTGGAGGAGGGTTAAGTAATACTACACAGTGATCAAAGATTTAAAACAATCCCTTAGTTTCATTTTTTTATCAGAGAAAATGGAATGATCCCTCTTAATGTTCAGCATAGTTTCTCTAAAATTCACTGCAAGGGTTATACTACTAGGCTTCATCACTTTTGTAGTGTGTTATGTGTGTGTAGTTAGGTGTGTTTCTACTCAGTGCTATTAAAATTCTCTATAACTAATTTCAGGTGTGTTAGAACAATTTTCATGGGATTTTACTAGGAAAGTAGGCTATCATGTGTACCATCTGTAGTGATACTGGTGCTGTAACAACTTAATTTTAAGAGTCACAATTTTGTATTTTTAAATTTTTTATGGTATAATTTTATTTTTTAATTTTTTAATTATAACTGTTAATTATGCAACTATTAATGCATTTATGGGGTACAATATACTGATTTGATATATAGTATGGAAAACTTACATCAAACTTATTAACATAATCATTACCTCACTTACCTATTTGTTGTGGTAAGACATTTATACTCTAAATAGTTTTAAAATGTACTATTGCGTTATGCACATTAGATGAGGTCCCACCAAATACCCTCCCTCCTGCCAGTCTCCCCTCTCCTCTTCCTCTCCCTCCTCTTCCCTCCTCTTTTCTGGACTATTTATACTCTAAATAGTTTTAAAATGTACTATTGCGTTATGCACATTAGATGAGGTCCCACCAAATACCCTCCCTCCTGCCAGTCTCCCCCTCCTCTTCCTCTCCCTCCTCTTCCCTCCTCTTTTCTGGACTTTTTGTTTTATCATTTGTATGAATGTGTAGGTGATTATATATTGGTTTCATAATAGTATTGAGTACATTGGATATTTTTTCTTCCATTCTTGAGATACTTTACTAAGAAAAATATGTTCCACCTCCATCCAGGTAAACATAAAAGATGTAAAATCACCATCTTTTTTTGAGGCTGCATAGTATTTCATGGTATATGTATACTGCAATTTGTTAATCCATTCACGGGTTGATGGGCACTTGGGCTGCGTCCATGGCTTGGCAATTATGAATTGGGCTTCAGTAAACTTTCTGGTGCAAATGTTTTTGTTGTAAAATGATTTTTGATCATCTGGGTATATACCTAGTAGAGGAATTGCAGAGTTGAATGGCAGGTCTACTTTTAGTTCCTTGAGTATTCTCCAAACTTCTTTCCAGAAAGGAGGCATTATCTTGCATTTCCACCAGCTGTGTAGAAGTGTTCCCTTCTCTCCACATCCATACCAGCATCTGAAGTTTTGGGATTTTGTGATGTGGGCTAATATTACTAGAATTAGATGATATCTCAAAGTAGTTTTGATTTGCATTTCTCTGATGACTAAGGATGATGAGTACTTTTTCATGTGTTGTAGGCCACATGCCTGTCTTCTGTAGAGAAGCTTCTGTTCAGGTCTCTTGCCCACAATGAAATGGGCTTTTTTGTTCTTTCCCCATTGATTAGTTTGAGTTCTCGATGGATTCTAGTTAGCAGACCTTTGTCAGAAACATAACCTGCAAAAATTTTCTCCCATTCTGAAGGCTATCTGCTTGTTTTACTTATTGTGCTTTTGGCTGTGCAGAAGCTTTTTAGTTTGATCAGATCCCGGGAATATGTATTTGGTGTTGTTTCAATTGCCAGTGGGGGTCCTTCTCATAAAAAATTCTCCCAGGCCAATTTCTTCATGGGTGACAAAGTGAGACTCTGTTTCAAAAAAAAAAAAAAAAAGACAGCACCTAAGAGTCAAAAATTTTTTTAAACTAAGAACTGAGTATTGATCTTACTGTATTTAAATTTCAGGATGCACTTTGTTTTGCAAATCCATGTTTTCTTATTGTGCTACTTTGAGAGAAATAGTCTTGGCTGAGTAAACATAGGAAATAGGTTCTTGTGTGATTTGCCTGTAGTTGGAGTTGTTCTAAATCAGTGGAATGACTCAATACTTTGTAGACATATTGGACAGGGAATTTATGCGTTAAAGGGTAAATTAATGACCTAGGTAATCTTTGAGAGTCTGTGATTTTATAGTACTCTACTTAGGTCTATATCCTAACTCTTCCATTATGAGGAACCATTTTTCATGTAAAAGAGATTGTTTTGGAGCCCTTCAAAATAGTATACTTTTTTTGTTTCTGTTTATTGGAAAAATAGAAATAGGTAAAAAGCTACTATAAATTCAGTAGTACTGAAGCAGATTGTTTTCATGATCACAACTTTATCTTTTTAAATGTTTCTTAGTCATTTATATCTTTAGCGAATTGCTAATTTTTTCGTTGAATTATTTGTCTTTTATTGATTTTTAGGGCATATGTATGAGCATTTTTTATTTGATTTCTCTTTTTAAACTTTAGTTACACTGAAGTTCTTTTTGCTGCATATTGGTAGATATTTAAAATTTGCATCTAATCAACTTGTCTTATTCTTTTTTTTTTTTGTCTCCTAGCTTTTTTGGTCAGACCCCTCCTTCTCCAAGATTTTTATTCATTCATTTTATTGACATGTAATTCATGTACCATAAAGTTCACCCTTTTGAAGTGAAAAATTAATTGGGTTTCACTTTAGATAGCAGTGACATATAAAGTTGTATGATTGTCATTGCTATCTAATTCCAGAACATTCTCATCTTCCCCAAAAGTAACCCAGTGTCCTTTAGTAGTCACTCCTTGTTGCCCTCACCCTGTACCCCTTGGCAACCACTAACTACTTTTTGTCTCTCTGGGTTTGCTTATTCTAGACTAGACATTTCATATAAATGGAATCATAAAATATGTGACTTTCTTGTCTGATGTGCCCCAAGAATTTTGAAGTATGCTTTTACATTTTTTTCTGGGTTAAAAATTACTTCTTATAATGGAAATGTTGTATGTCGTGATTATGGTTGTAGTTTCATGACTATTCTTCCTCAAAGTGCGTCAAATTGCACGTAGGTTAATTATACCTCAGTAAAACTAAAAATAATGCATATTTAATGGTATACAAGAGAAAAATGTATTAATGATTCCAACATTAGTTTTCCAATGAGAGAATTAATTAAAATACTCAAATGAATATTTGTAGAGAAGAAAGATAGTATCTCATTTTAATTTTTATTCCCCTTAATATTAGGTTCAGGATCATTTCATACGGTTCTTGGGGATTTGCATGTTTTCTTTTTCAGGTGTCTGGTCATTTCCTTCACCTATTTTTCTATTAAGTTACTTGCCAATCTCTAATTCATTTAAATAAAGAGCAGCAATTCTTCATTTTTAGTCCGATGTAAATGTTTTTCTAGTCAATTATTTCCTTTGTATATAGTATCATGTTTTAGCAGAAATGAATGTAACAGTTTCTCTTACTCCTATTAATATTTTAATATATTGCTTGTCTTTCTTTTTGTATATAATTTAAAAAATTGAGTAAGCTGTTCTTACTTAATTAAAAATCTTCTTTGATTTCACTAATTCTTCCTTCTCCAGGGATAGCCACTTTGAAAGGTTAGACTTGGACTTTACTAGTGTAGCTTTTATTTATTTATTTATTTTTTTGAGACAGAGTCTCACTTTATCTGGGGAGAGTGCCGTGGCATCACACAGCTCACAGCAACCTCCAACTCCTGGGCTTAGGCGATTCTCTTGCCTCAGACTTCCAAGCAGCTGGGACTACAGGCGCTCACCACAACGCCTGGCTATTTTTTTGTTGCAGTTTGGCTGGGTTCGGATTTGAACCTGCCACCCTCGGTATATGGAGCTGGCACCCTACCCACTGAGCCACAGGAGCTGCCCTAGTGTAGCTTTTATATGTTTATATGGGGGGAGAATAGACAGAAAGATGCAGGTATCTAGTTCAGTTGTTTCTCAAAGTGTGAAATGCTTCAGCAGAAGCATCACCTGGAAACTTGTTAGAAATGAAGATTCTTAGGTCCCTAACAGGACTGCTGAATCAGAATCCCTGCGGTGGGTCCCACACCTAGCAACCCATTTTTAGCAAGTCTTCTAAGTGATTGTGATGAGTACTGAAGTTTCAGAACCATTGTTCATCTAGGTCATTGTTCTTAACTGCTGTATGATGTTTCCCAAATTCAGTATATCATACATATTTTTGAGAAATGAGGTCTTGCTATGTTGTTCAGGATGGTCTGTAGTAACTGGGACTATAGGTACATGCTACCATGCCTTGGCTTGAATATACCATATTTTAAAATCCCTTATTGCCAAGCACTTAAGTAACTTTTCTTTTAAAAATTAACAGTAATGCAAAGGAAACAACAGAATGAAACAACAAGCTACAGAAGGAGAAAAAATATTTGCAAACTATTTGTCCAACAGGGGATTAATATCTGGAATATACAATGAACTAAAGCATCTCAGTAGCAAAAAATAATCCAGCTAAAAAATGGGCAGTTGATCTGAAGAGATTATCTTTCTTCTTCTTTTTGTTTTGAGACAAAGTATCACTATATTGCCCTCTGTAGTGTGCTATGGCATCACAACTCACAGCAACCTCCAACTCTTGGGCTTAAGTGATTCTCTTGCCTCAGCCTCCCAAGTAGCTGGGACTACAGGCACCTGCTACAATGCCCAGCTTTTTTTTTTTTTTTTTGTAGTCATTGTTGTTTAGCCAGGTCCGTGTTAGGTTCTAACCTGCCAGCCCCAGTGTATGTGGCTGGCACCCTAACCACTGAACTACAGGCGCTACGCGTGGATACTTGCTGCTCCATTCTTGTGATACTTTACTAAGAATAATGTGTTTCAACTCCATCTAAGTTAATACAAAAGATGTAAAGTCTCCATCTTTTTTAATGGCTGGTTAATGTTCCATGGTATA